TTGATTGAAGTTAAACATGTCAATCATTCGATGTTGACCCAGTGACCTAATGACTAATAAACGTTTGTCGTGAGACCCAACCGTTCTGGGTTTGATCCTTGATAGGTTCCTGAATGCACACAACTAAGAAATTCCACATTAGGTTGAAACAGTTTTCAGATTGTATCTAGTTTTATACGTTTACTAAGTTAGGTTGTTCTGTGAAATTAACTACAAAGCTTCAGTTTAATAAAAGGGTAACAAAGAAGAAAAAATGAACGTAAAGCTAAACAGTTGTTGAGATATCAATAAAAATAAAGTTGAAAATGTGGACAGTTGAATTTCAGCTCAGTGACAACTTGGTATCATTATAGTCAGTAATGAGATCTGGAGGATAATGTTAAAATAGTCGCCAATATTGAACTGGTCACCCCGAATTGAATTACTTCATTATTCCTATATGTATATCATCGATTTATCTTTGTTTAAATTCGTAGGAATGACTATGTAACATCAATTATGACAGATTTCAAATTAGTTAATACTATTCCTAAGTATTTAAAATGGTTTTATCACTAGAAGTGCGTGATTCAAGTTAATATCAGATGATCCGGTCTTTGGATAAATTACATTCTACTAAGATTATTAGATAATAAGATAGAAATAAAGACATGTATAAGTACAGGGTCATTGATCACTTTGAGGATATCGTTTTTATTAATCATGAATTATACATAATATTTAACAATAAGGATTTTCGGGAAGAGTCATTTAGTACCAAGCTAGGAATTCTTATTCCCCTAATTAATAATTTACCGTTTGCTCATTGATCACACAATATCTTGTAAAGCATGAATTCGAAATGATTGATTACTGAATAGTAACCAGTATAATATTTGTTGAATTCTTTAATGTCTTACTAACAAATACAGATTAGTACGAAACCTAACCCTGGATTATTCACACAACTACTTCCAATCACTTAACACTTCAAGAATTCATCTTAAAGTTATTCGTTATTGATGTAATCCATTTTCAAACTGATGTATGGGCGAGAATAATAATGATCGATTGTCTGCTTAGTCAGGCGTGTAGATAGTCTGACAAGTGTCAGGTGAGTTATATATTCGCCTATTATTATTATAAATTATTATTGATTGTTCATTGTTGTTGGATTGTGTCGGGTTCTGATGAGCAAACATATTTATGTTCCAGTCAGACTAATCATGTGTTCTTTGTCTGAGTTGTGTTGAAGTCCTGTAGAATAGACACTGAGAGAGAATCTAGTGTAAATATTCATCAAAGGTAAATTAACGTCCCATACGTGTAAACGTGGAAAACCCAACCGTTATAACACAAACTCATTAAATCTCTATGCATTTCATAATCTCATGATAATTAGCTCCATTTAAAAAAAACAAAAAATATCTAATCACAAAAAGGTTTTTCATTTTCTTTAAAACACACAAGTGTGAATTGCATATGCGACTTTTAACTTCGTCCTTGACCTATAATTCTACCATGATCACATAGTTTATTTTCTGTATTTAGAGTATAGTACTGAATTATTTTTCTATTATTAAAGTGTTATAATTTTTATTAGCCTTGGATTCTGTATTGTTTATAATTAACGTTATGACATAGAAGTATCTTATTCAATTTAATTATATTTTTAAATTAATGAATAAGGGTAATTTCCAAAAATTTTATATGGAATGAAATTTTCGTCATGTATCATTTAGTGTTGTATGTACTAAGGTGAAACAGTTGACTAATACTAACTGATGTTAAATGGTTTTCTGAGTGAAATAATTTCGTGATGTAAAATGATCTACAAATTGCATAATGTCGGAAAACCCTCTAGTGATTGACACTATAATAATAATAATAATAATAATAATAATAATAATAATAATAATAATAATAATAATAATAATAATAATAGTAGTAGTAGTAGTAATACGATTTCTAACCATGTTATTGGTAAACGAAATATTTTAATGAATCTATGATAGCTTAGACACAAACTCACATAATTCAGAAACCATTGATAACCAACAACGAGCCAATACATTTTTAGTGTCAGAAGGGATTTTTGTGGATATTATAGTAATTTTAATAGTTGATAATATGAGTCAATTGAAGCTAGACTACCATGGAAAATCTGGAAGTACTGGACGGCCTGTTGTAGGACTCCTCAGCAGTGCGCACCGACGATCCTGCCTCACGAGACTCGAACTCAGGACCTATCAGTTTCTCACGCGAGTGCTTAACCACTAGACCACTGAGATAGTAACTCAGTACTTCCAAGTTTTCCATGGTGGTCTAGCTTCAATTGACTCATGATCTCAACCATTAAAATTACAATACATTTTTCATTCTACTTTCTAATAATATTTTTGCAAAATCGTTTGAAGGTTGGTTGATCAAGCAAACTCAAAGGGTAGATGAATGAGACACGATAGACACAATGAAATCAGTAGCGTATCGACTGCAAACTCTCAAACTTATTAACATGAATTTTAAGATTTACGTAACTAAAGAAGATCACTCGATGAATCCAAAAGTATTTCTGAGGTGGATGACATATCAAATGACCTGAATGTGAGGCAATCGAAAAACCTAGTAATTTATAACAGTAATGGATTGATAAATCTTTCATCTTGAACATAATTAGTGTAGTTTGAATTTTTTTATATAACAACCGGTTGTTTCGACAAAATTCGATAGCTCAGTTGTAACGTCTCTGACTGTGAAGCTGGGTGACATGGGATCGAATCCGCCAGGGAGCACCAGTCCCCTCAAATATTGCAGGTACACCTTGCTGACGAGTGCCAAGTAGCACGAAACCAGGGTCCAGGGTTTCCTATCGACTACCTCCAACCACCATCTAATCTGTAGTTAGTTGAGCGTAATCTCTCATTGCACATATGTCAACATTTCAATTATATGGTGAAATTTATACTTCGGACGTTTTTCCCTCAACATCACATTGCATTTGGACTATGATTTTTCCGTTCTTCATTAAAATTGCTAAAGTTTTCAGTGGTATTTCAATCACCTATTTTCAAGTAATTCATAATTTAATAGAATGGATCAAAAACCAATACAAATTTGGTACTTAATTCATCCTACACCATAGCACCTACATTGGCATTATTGTCGGGATAAAATATCGTGGCTAGCCTATCAAGCTTCGTTAGCTGGAGCATTCAAACTTTTAAGATTTACAATGCCAGTCAAGTTGTTTGGACAGCAAAAACGAACTAACCTCAAGGCCCGAAGGGAAATCGTGTTTCTGATTGCATTGAGGTGTCATTATAGTAAGGTTTTTCTCTGAAACAATTAGCAATCAGGCCTACTCGCAATGGAGGTGGTCAGGAAAGGTCAATTCTAAGAATAGCACACCCTACCATACCCTATGGATTTTCGTCCCTGCCCGAAGGCCTTAAAATTAGTGAGCTAATGCATTAGAAATTACAAAAATTCAGTGTGTGAACAGCCTCAAGCAGTTGTCCGTCGGGACCTATGGTCTGGCTCTCAGATCGTCTATAACGAGCCTAATAGAATTTACTTCTCATATAGTTCAGGAGGTATTCTTTCATAGTGCAAGCACACAGAAAGCAACAATCACTCTCATACCTCCGACAGTTTCGTTAGCTGGAGCATGGGACTCCTCAGCAGTGCGCATCCACGATCCTTCCCCCCACGAGATTCGAACTCAGGACCTATCAGTCTCTCGCGCAAGCGCTTAACCATTAGACTACTGAGCCGGCCGATATCCAACGGTGTTGATGTCTAACTTCAACCAATCCACGAAATTCAAATAACTTAAAACGTGAATAATATGATCTTTATTATCAGTTAAACATCAAGCTACACTTTTTCGTAACAAAGTTAAGAAGAACTTAGTTGATGATTATTGTCAGAAATATGTGACGTTTATAAAAGATTTGTTAGGCGACAACTTTTGAGTTTTATACAACGATGTACGGCACCGCTTTACAGAAGAACACTATGGTTTATTGGCACGTCGATAGGTTGATGTAGAATAAAGTTGGGTGTATTAAAGTGGTGTATACATGTCTATTGCGTATGGAATAATAATTATTCTATATATCTGAATATCCACTACTTTATAGTTATATCAGTGCTCTCATCAACTCAGGATATAATAACTGATAGTTAGATAATAGAAAATAACTGATGGAAATAATCGTAACGGTAAATTGTCCTTCTCATAATTCATCATCAAAGATTTCGTTTGTGATTTCCATCAATGTACATAAATTTGTCTAACTCCGGAACTTCTGATGTAATAATGTTGTTCTCTGATCTAACAAAGTGTTCGTTATTTGGAAAATAATCCAGATGGCTGACTGTAGAGGGATGTGGTAGCAGTAAGGTGTTTCCGTCAGTGAAGCAATATTTTAATTATTTTACCTTCTCACAATAGAGCGATAGGGTTATAAAAAGTCGAACCTTGCCACAAACGGCCTGATTGTGGCCAACTTCAAACACTTGTCCCTTAGTGTCTGAGGTTACTCTCTCAGGTAGCCAAGACCATCACTAATTCAGTTTCCTTTTCAGTTCCCTTAAGACGAAATATTTTTATATAGTGTAGGGCAACTGGAAATTAACAATCACCCTGATACCTCTAACAGCACAGATCATTTCGTCTGTTGAATAAAAGTTGGTCAACATTTCAGCTGCAGGTTGTCTATTAATAGGAATAATACACATATAAATACAAACCCATGAGTAAACGTTATCAAGGGACTCTTAAAAATAATGACAATATAGGTTTGTTTTACAAAAATAAGTAAATCGATAAACCAATTGGTAAACTGAGATTTAGTCCTACAATCCTTCCTTTATGGTCTATTCTACTTAGCTGTTCATTGACTGACTAGCTAATGAAACTTGACCCAGTTCATGAAAACTGATTATCTCTCTCACTTTAGTAAAAATTGCGAAACTTCACCAATCAAGCAACCAGTTATTAAAAGAACAGAATAATATAAGACATAATTTGACAAATTTTTAAAATAACGAGATACACAGTAAATATTGTTTGTAAGATAGTAGTAGATAATTAATTAATATTAGTTTGTAGAGGTTAAACATCCGATGATTGGAATTCCATTTGCGTATTACCATAGTAATGACACCGACTATTATTATCATTATGATTATTACGTTGCTGATGATTTTCCACAACGTAATTGGTACATTCCATTTGCTGATATTCCGATGTTTCAGAAGATGAATCCCAATGAGTTAAACTGTTTGAAAGTGAATTTCTCGATATGGGCATCTAAAAAATCAAGCAAAAACAATTGAATTTTTTGCGTGTGATTTAACAGTGTTACAATCGGCCGTCAATGTTTAACAGAAAACTTTCTATAGATCCAGTATTTACACTCACACAGATTAGTCGAAATCAGGTGTCATGTTGTCTAGTATACAGTGCTCCTGGTCGAATTCTATCTAGTTATAATATGGCTGCTAATGTGTAATTGATTTTAAATGATGGTGTTTTGTTAGGCGGGTGGAGATCTTGTCAAGATGACTCTTTGACACATTCTGTAATGACTCCTATTCATCATCAAAGAATATTTGCAATCTTAGGAAAATTCACTTCCTATAGCATCAGTCAGTCAGTTATATGCACTACATAATGTAGGATATATGTGCATCGTTTATCATATCAAATCAACATAGCCACATAAAATGACCTAGACGATAAATCAGATAAGTAGAAGTAGTGACGGTACCAGTAGTAGTAGAAAAGTCTAGGCATAAACAATATGGTTCGAAGAGAAATAATGAATTAAAATTTCTTTTTTCAAGGGAAGATAATGAATAAATATATGTGGGCCATTGAGACCGATTCAGAGATATGTCACCCGGTGTTTCCAGGAATTGGTTACAAGAACAGTGAGTCCCAACTTGAGCCTACTTGCAAAGCTGAGCCCAGTAGTCAATGACTTTATAAACTGATGCTATGTTTTGGTTTCTCGGTCTCCTTGCGATGTCGAACACATACCATCATATCGTCAGAGACATGATCGTTTATAGAAAGAGGCGAGGAAAGGAAAATGTTAACTTTGTGAAGTTATTTTTGCGTGAACCATTTTGTATATTTTATATAAATATTTCTCAAACCATTAGTTTATGTAATTTTCATATAGTTTCAATTGTTAGTTAGTTGTTGATGGTTTGTTCAGTGTTAAGTTAAACCACACGTTTTAACACTATTCAACTATATTAAAATCAATAACTCTAGATCCAAGTTAGTTCAGGAGAATGTTAATTGCGACCATGAACACGGTATTCGAATAAGTAATGGGATAATTGTTATTATTGCAAGCGGAAAATCTAGTAATTATCTCCAAGCTGTTCAAGATAGTAGCAATAGTTTCTTTTTCTTGAACATTAATTAACAAGGGAAAGGGATTTATGATAAAGTATCTGACATACTTAGAATAAGGTCCAGCTTATTCTGAAAGATTTTTAATAAGATTTCAAAAGTAAAACTCTGAGATTATTCATGTGCTATTGATTGTGGATTCCTTAATCACTGACCACTTTAAATTATTCAGTTAAAATATATTAGGAAGGAATAACTAAAGTTAAACTGAAACAAGGGTCGCAGTCATAATCGAAGTGATGACCTCAGGGAAAAGTACAAAATTAGTAGAAACCTTTAAAAAAAAGTCAAATTTCGTGAATTGGTTGAAGTTAGACATCAACACGATTGGATGTTGACCAATTCAGTGGTCTAATGGTTAAGCGTTCGCGCGCGAGATTGATAGGTCCTGGGTTCGAATCTCGTGAAGCGGGATCGTGGATACGCACTGCTGAAGAGTCCCACAATAGGATGAAACGGCCGTCCAGTGATCCCAGGATTTCCTTGGTGATCTAGCTTCAATTGACTCATGATTCCAGTCAGTGAAATTTTTAAAGAAAACATTAAGTAAATGCCATTTTTTAAAGAAAGTGGCAACATCACCACTAACTAGTGTCAACTCTAAAAAGACAACACTGAATACTGCATAGTTAGCTCATCTTAGTTTCCGACTTATCAGAACTGCCCATCTCTACAACAGATCATCAAATCGAAACCTGACACCATACACAATTCAAAATCATTTTAACTGATATGATTTCAACACAAAAGGTTTTTTTGTAGATATTATAGTAATTTTAATAGTTAAGATCATAGAAACTAGAACATCATGGAAAACCTGGAATCACTGGACGGCCGTTTCGTCCTATTGTGGAATTCCTTAGCAGTGCGCATCTACGACCCCGCTTTACGGGATTCCGGCCCAGGACCTATCAATCTCGCACGCAAAAGCTTAACCTCTAGACCACTGAGCCGGCATCCAACAGTGTTAATGTCTAACTTCAGCTAATCCACGAAGTTGAGCGACACATCCACCATTGTCTTCATTGAGTTACTATCTTGCAACAGACCCAATTGAATTTCATAGATCATGGATCCGCTACCTTGACGTGGTGGTCGGGCTTGCCTATCGTGATGACCCAACCGAGCTTTATTGGCTGGGACACATGTTCCTGCAGGTTCTACCATGCCAGGCAGGTCTATTGGAAAACGGTAAGACAAAAAGCAGCAACTCAAGGTCTGAGGGCGAAGTCGTACTGCTGACTGTACAGAGGTGTGACAGCAGTAAGGTGTTTCCCTCGGACAACCAGCATCTGCAGCGATGCTGCCTTCTCACAAGGAAGGAAGGGGTTAGAAAAGGTTGACCCTAAAAATGTCACACCTCACCTTACCCCACGGATTTCCGTCTCCGGCGGTAAGGCCCTTTGAAGAGCGGAGCTAACACATTAAAAACCTCCCACAAAAAGACCGTGCGCGACCGGCCTCAAGCAGTTGTTTCTTGGGCTTTGCGGTCACGCACTCAGGTCGCTAAGACCAACACTAATCCGATTTCCTTTTCAGGTCCCTCAAGAAATACCCTTCCACGGTGTGGGCAACCGGGAAGTGATATCAGCCCTCATACCCGTAACAGCACACGAGAACAAGTTGGTCACATTCAAATCCTTCCTACACCTCCTAATAACTCTCTTATCTCCACGACTAACCCTTCTTACGTCCCTTTATCACCTCGCCCCGCTAGTGCGAACGATTCGAGTACGCGGAATTTTATTCCTGGTCACCTGAAACCACGCTCCAAACTGCACGTAGGAGCTTTCAACGTCCGAACACTGTGCCAAATAGGAAAACAGGCTTCCTTAGCTAAGACTTTAGAATCTCGCTCCATCGATGTGTGCTGCGTCTCCGAAACGCGCACACAGGATCCTAGTAGTGTCATTCATTTGACCGCACCATGTCAAAGTAACGAACCAACTCGATTTACGCTTCGTGTATCTGGAAGCCCTGATGCTGCTTCCCGTGGCCTCGCTGGCGTAGGTATAGCATTGAGTCCTAGGGCAGAACTAGCTCTCTTAGACTGGATCCCAGTAGACAGTCGTTTGTGTGCTGTCCGACTAAACGGAACAGTAAGGACTCGAAAAGATAGGGACACTCGTCGTTGCCTCTTCGTCGTCTCTGCCTACTCTCCCACTGACTGCAGCTCAGATGATGTAAAAGATGAGTTTTACAGAAAGCTTTCCGACGTTCTCCGAAAAGCTAGGCGTTCAGATGTAGTAATAGTGGCTGGTGACTTTAATGCTCAAGTAGGTAAACTAAGCGAAAAGGAAGGACACCTGGGTGGATCTTATGGTGTCGCGGCTCAAAGAACAGATAACGGCGACCGTCTGTTGCAGCTATGCTCAGATAACCGCTTGTTTCTTGCAAACACTAACTTTAAGCATAAGGAAAAACATCTTTTAACATGGCGACCCCCTAATTCGTCTCAACGCTGGACCCAAATAGATCACATCGCTATCAGCCACCGATGGAGGGGCTCGATAGAAGACTGTCGCTCATTCTGGAGCACATGCTTAGACTCAGATCATGTTCTAGTGCGAGCGCGTATTTTTCAACGTCTTACTGGACGTAGGAAACATGCTGCAAGGAAACCCCTTAGGGTCCTACTTAATGATAGTCAAGCTAAGAGTATATTTCAGGAACATCTAGAAAAACAGTTAGACAGCCATGTAAGTGACGCCCACCCCGAGGCAGCGTGGAATGACATCCGAAAAGCTGTAGAAACAGCAGTGATGTCTGCGAGTACGGTAAACCATAAAGTTAGGGAGAAACACTGGATCTCAGCAGCATCTACCGCACTGATAGATGCTCGAAAACTCATTCCATCTGGCTCTCAACATAACGAAGAGCGGAGTCAGCTTAAGCGTAAGCTGACTAGAAGCCTACGCAAAGATCATGAACAGTGGTGGGTAGTGAAAGCAAGAGAGATGGAAAAGGCAGCGGCAATAGGTAAAAGCAGGCAACCTTTCAGACTTGTTAAGGAAACCGGTATTAGGAACCCAACTGTTAGCGAAACAATCGCAGAGAAAGATGGACATATTATTCATTCTCAATCCAGGAGATTGGATCGATGGGCAGAATACTTTAGGGATCAGTTCAACTGGCCTTCAGCCACACTTCGGTTTCCCACGATCTCCAGTCGACCTGAATAGCAAGTTGATGTAAGTCCTCCGACTCTTTACGAAGTTGAAAAAGCTATAGGAAATCTGAAGCGTCGGAGAGCAGCAGGTCCTGACAGGTTTACCCCTGAGATTTTTAAGGATGGCGGTCCAGTATTAGCAGCGAGATTGACTGAGGTCTTAGGTAGAATCTGGGAACTGGACGTAATCCCATCTGACTGGTCTCAACCACTGATTGTGCCAGTCTATCAGAAAGGACAAAAGTCTTCTTGTGACAATCACAGAGGAATTAGTTTGACTAATATAGTGTCTAAAATATTAGCTTGAATAATACTTCGACGTCTAACCAAAGCTCGGGAAGAGCAGACTAGAGAAAACCAGGTTGGTTTTCGACCTGGACGTGGTTGTATTGATCAAATATTCACATTACGTCAGGTCCTAGAACATAGACACACATTCAGACGCCACACAATGGTGGTATTTCTCGACCTTAAGGCGGCATTTGACTCTGTTGATCGTGAGGTTCTATGGCAGTGTTTGTCACTGAAGGGAGTACCAAAGAAGTACATCAACCTTATAAAGGCTCTCTACTCGAACACAACTGGTCGATTGAGAGCTTATGGTGAACTGTCATCAGAACTGATTACCTCAAGTGGTGTTCGTCAGGGCTGTCCACTCTCTCCATTCTTGTTTAACTTTGTCGTTGACGTGCTTTTAGAACTAACACTTTCCACATCTGACTTTCCGGGGGTTGAACTTCTACCGAAAGATTCACTTGTTGACTTGGAGTATGCCGATGGCATAGTTCTATTTGGTGAAGACGCTGACAGAATGCAGAGTCTACTGACCACTCTAAGCAACAATGCAAGCATGTTCGGCATGCTATTTTCTCCCTCAAAATGCAAAAGTTGCTTCAGGATTGGGTTGCGTCGACACCCGGACTAGTGATAGGGAGTGAAGTAGTTGAGCGTGTCGACCGCTTCACTTATCTTGGAAGTCTCATCAGCCCTTGTGGTTTGGTGTGTGACGAAATCTCAGCACGGATACAGAAGGCTCGACTAGCTTTTGCCAACTGGCATCATTTGTGGCGTAGGAGAGATATCCGTCTATCAACCAAAGGACGTGTTTACTGCGCAGCAGTTCGTTCCGTTCTACTTTATGGCAGTGAAACATGGCCAGTAAGAGTAGAGGATATTCGTAGGTTACTAGTATTTGACCATAGGTGTCTTCGAAACATCGCTCGTATATCCTGGGACCACCGAGTAAGTAATGCAGTTGTTAGAAAAAACGGATACTAGGTAAGGATGGCAAATCAATTGATGAAGTAGTGAAAGTTAATCAGTTGAGATGGCCGAAACACGTGTTACGTATGCCCAACCATCGACCGCCCTGATGTGCGATGTTTTATGGTGTAGGAGTAGGTTGGAAGAAAGCTAGGGGCGACCAGAACAAAACATGGCAGAAATCCATGAAGTCACTGATAAGTGGACTGAGTCATGTTGGCAGGTGTAGACTACCTGGTTGAGGACCGCGAGACGATAGCAACCGATGGTTAGAGACCTTGAATGACATGGCTCAAAATCGTTTGCAATGGCGCAGGTGCATCCACTCTTTATGTTCTCTCAAACTCTAATCTTCTGAATTCTTCATGTCCTTTATTTTCTTTCCCAATTTATTCCACTGGACTATACTCCTTTAATAACATCATCAAACCTTCATGTCCCCTATCTCTACTTATACTTTCAGTACCTCTACCACTATGGGATTTGAATCGATAATTGGATCTCTGTGCTAATGTGGTATGGCAACTCGTACGTACGTACGAAGTTCCACGTTGTTACTGACTGACTGACTGATGGATCCGCACTGCTGAAAGTCCCACAATAAGACGCATCTGCCATCCAGCACTTCCAGGTTTCCCATGTTAGTCTTGCTTCAATTAACTCATAATCTCAACTATCACATTTAATATGATTTTATAGGAATTTTTCATTCTATATCTGCTTGTTATACACATAAAACATATTGTAATATGTAATATTATAATATGTAATGAAAATAGAAACTAAGCCTGTGATCATAGCAACAATTAATAGAAGAATAACAAAAAATCAATAAAGAAAGTGTATAGACTAGACTAGTTTGAAAATTATTCATACTTACATACATACACACGTACACACATACACATATACACACTACATACATACATATCGATAGATAGATTAGATAAACACATCTATAAATAGTTAACTATATACATTTATAATAAATCAATAACAATGTTATAAATTAATCAATAAAATCTTTACAAAATTCATGTTCATTATATTAACTATCCTAGAGTAATATATATGTTAATGTATTAAATATTCATATTGAATATAAACATACATACAAATATATAAATAAAAATTGATTGATTGATTGATGATGGAAATTATTGAAATCACATATTGATAAGTTTGATCCATACTGATTCATATTCTAATGAAAAACTATGATGGATAATGTTCAATTACGTCAGATATGAAGAAGGTAGGAGATGGAAGATGGTTGCGTAATATCGTGGATTGATTGTAGTTAGACTTTCGCATAATTGGATGCTAGCTCAATAGTCTAAAAGTCATGAATTCGTATGCGAGATTGAAGTTCTTGAATTCAGTTCTTAACAATGTTGTGAATAGGCATTTATAAGGAGTCCAACACCTAGGGTGAAACAGATGCCTAGTGTTTCCAAAATTTCAATGGTTGTCTAATTTAGATTGGTTGGTGATCTTAATAAGATTCAATAAGTTAATTGCATATGCTACGAATGTATTTTGTTCACTTATTTTATTATTTATTCAGTGAACAATAGAGACATTAGATTAAACCTTCCAGAGGATTAAACACAATAACTTTATAGACTGTATTCAAACTATCCTGAAATCACTTAGAATGGACTATATGAATTATATACCATTCAAATACTACCTTGATTAAGATCCTAGATTCAATAATGCATTGAGATGACTTTTCATACCGTCAAAATTCCCAAATAAAATCGTGTCATTTTTCCATCGATTTTATGCTTATAATGGTTCTCTTACTGATGTCACTTACTGGGATCTATGCTAGGAACTTAAATACTAACATGTTCATCACAGTGTAATCCATAGGTCCCTCCTTAAGTTTGATAACGAACGTTATTTAAGAACAACAGAAGGAGAAGAGATTGAATGCATATTTCGTTATTTTAAAGTTCGATTGAGTAATATCTCAAAGCATAAATGATGATCGAATTATCATTATCAATAGTAGTAGTTATAACAATGACTGCTAACCTTGACAGATTCCGAATCAGCATTATGTGTGAAAATAAAACCATCATCAATCAATAAGTTTTCTGTTTTATGACACTTGACATCTTGATGTTTCGAAGTTCTTCGTTTGTGTCTATGACCAGTGTTTTTGGAGTAATAACGCGATGTTAGATTGTCATTTAAATGGTCTTCGTAACTATTGTATTTATTGAGAGTATGGTTTTTGGATTTTAAATTTACTGGAGAATCCTGTCAGAAATAAAATAAAAGAACGATGGAATCAAAGAGGACCAAAGTTTTTTACGTATTTGAAGAAAATAAGAAAGGTTTAAATGAAGGTTCTGTATGTCGATGGGGCAGTGAAACAAAAGTGTGAGTACGGTCCACGGGTGAACTCGAGGAAGCTCAGAAAGAGCCGAAGATATTCCATCCAGTCATCTTTTGGAAGAATATTCCAGAATCCCTACGTGTAGCTCCCCTATTGTACAAACGCTAATAGCCTTTGTAAGTGGATTGGAGGACTATAATGATGATTTCGTCCTCACTAAAACCTATAAATACCTGACAGTTTTGCACCATAATCACTTGTCTTCTATCTTCTCATTTGCATCTTGGGAATGTTCTAGCGTTCCAGTGCTCAAGTTATACGCGGTATATTAGGAATTTAAGCTCTAAATATAACAACTGGCGACGAGGTTAACTTATCAAGAAGTCATTTACTTTTTGCCAATTTGAAGCCTTGCTCGGACGTTTAGAAAAACGTTACGAACAGTTCCAGATTCATATCACAGAGGCTGAGATTAGTGTTCCGGATTTAACAGACAGGGCTAGGCAGGGAGAAGGATCGATAATGACTCCATATTGCTCGCATGGGTTTTATGCGTCATTGAACTGGTCGATAAATTACAGTTCTCTAATTGGCGGTGTCATTATATTATACATTGATAGAGGAACAAACCCACAAGTTATAACAAAAAAGGTAAATACTTGAGGACTGGTTTTCTTACAGATACATCTCAGCTTTAAAACCACTGAAAACTAGCAAACACTATGGCTGTTTCCTTTTAAGTTGAATATCTCCGGTAATGCACTTACAATAATCTAAATGCGATTCAACTTAAGTTGTTAATGTCTCGAGACAAGCTTACTACCTTTAAACGATTGAGTTGAAATTCAATGGTACATAGTTGCCGTATAAACTTAAAACAATCATTTAGATATAAAACAAGGAAGAATGTTTCAGTAAAGAGATCTCTTTTATGGTGAATTCATTATCTAAGTTAAACTATTGCAAATATATACCTTTCTTTCACATTTATAATAACACTAATTTATTAAACGTTATAATAGAGAAGCAAAATATACAAAAGCGTGAAAAAATATTATTCTATTCAAAGACTATAAATATTGAATGTCTGTCAAAAATGTCACAGGATTTCTACACATGAAAAATTGTTAACATGATTTGTGTTACACAATAAGATAAAACATTGTGATAATATATTAAAGAAGGACATGAAAACTGAATTAAGTCGGTCAGAAGTGAAAACGTTTTTTGATAGACTAGAAGAGTGTTATAATCAAAGATGGTGATTAGCAGGTACGTCAAGCTGACGAGTCCCAGATAGGAGGAAACGCGCGTTCTGGATTCCACTGCTAACCACCATCCATCTTTGCTTATAATGCTTGTGAATTAAGGTAATATCGAGACAATCCACACAGTATGCACATATGTCAATAAGAAACTGATTAATTTCAGACCTAAACATCAATGGGAAGATTCAAATAAACAATACAAAATGAATTTAGAAGAATGTTAGTTTTTAAAAATTAGGGGTTAAACCCATGTCAAGTATGAAGAAATTGAATAAGTCTTTTTCATATACATAGTTTTAGATTTTCTAAATTTACAGCGAAAGGTTCAGTAATGTAAAACAATTAGAAGCCCAAATATTCAACGAAAAGAAGTCCATTCTTCTACATAATATGACGTTTCTATCCGATGCCTTACACTCAACATGAGTAATTTAATTAAATATATAATTTTATATCTAGGGTTATATACTGACTCAGTCTCTAGTTGTACTGGGAAAGTACATCACATGAAAGTCAATAACAGTCAAAGGAATAAGTAAGTTTGTTAGAAAAGGGTAAATATGTAATTCAGTAATTTAATTACAATTTCTAAACTAATCAGTTTAGTTTATTGATATTGTATGTACAAGGAGTAAGGAGTCACCACATATATATGCGCCACACAAATCTCATTTGGTTTGTGCGAGGGCTGTGATACTGCTCGGGTGCCAAAACCGAAGCAGGTATATTATATATGCACACTAAATATTATTATTATTATGTAGATTATAGTACAATGAGTTTTTGATGAGTAGAAACTTCATGAGATGCATTTACTCGAGATGTATGTACGGGTAAATTTATGCATTTATACCTTAAATATCAACGTTTACCACAATGAATTGATTGTGTGTTCATATAAAAACTGTTCAGTAATATTCGATTATATTAAGTTAGATATAAAACGCGACCAAATGAAAATCAATACTATCGATCAAATTGTTTGTTTTTTATAACACAATAAATATCTGAAATCTATGAATGGATTACGATTAAGAATAGATTTCACCCAGCATTATCAGATAAATGTGGGTTTTGATAACGGTAACTCGAAAATCTTCACGTAGTGAATGATGTGACTTTACGATTTGAGTGAGTTGAATAAATAGATTAAAATAAGATATTTTAGTCTGTGGACTATCACTTTGGTCATTCCTTCAAAAATTAGCAATGGTAGTAGTTGTATTAGTAGGTAAGTAGGTAGATATAGGACTGATTAGAATTTAATAGTTCGATATTTTCATTCTATGGTCACTGTTGTGTGGCGCATATATATTTGGTACCCCCCTGTACCAATATTTATGTGTTCAAATAAATAAAATGGTCACTGCTGTAATCAAGCACTGAGAAATATTTCGTTTAAAATTATATACTACGTACAAATTATTTAAGTAGGAAGAATTTGTTGCACCAGGCCAAGTAGGATGAACTTCATTCGTCCGACTAAAAAGCCTGATATCCTTTCATAATAGGTGGATTGAACGGGAAGGTGGAAATTCGAAATATTGGTTTTTAATATACAATAACGGACTGGGAAAAAGCTTAAGTGGATAAACTATAATTATACCGGCAAATGGTTTGAATTATTTATTTTGGTTAGCTTTTTAGTTTTCTACGGCATGGGGTCGCTAACCCCAATCCTCCTTTGTCCGAGCTTGGGATCGGCAGCAGCCCCAGAGGGTCTCCAGGTGGAGGAACTCAAAACAACTGTCAACAAACACCAAGGTCAGAATTTTCAATACAAATGTCAAAAAAGTTCTACTGTATGGGGCGAAAACTTGGAGAACTACAAAAGCCATCATCCAGAAGATACAAGTGTTTATTAACAGCTGTCTACGCAAAACACTTCGGATCCGTTGGATAGACACTGTCAGCAACAACCCACTATAGAAGAGAACATACAAGATCGCAGCGGAGGAAGAAATCAGGAAGAAGAGCTGGGGGTTGATAGGACACATATTGAGGAAAGCACCCAACTGTGTCACAGAGCAAGCCTTCAGTTGGAATCCCCAAGACAAAAGAACACATTACGCCGAGAAATGGAGACAGATATGAGAAGAATGAACAACAATTGGATAGAACTGGAAAGGAAGGCTCAGGACAGCGTGGGACGGAGAATGCTGGTCGGCGACCTGTGCTCCATTGGGGTTAACAGTAAAGTAAGTATGCCGGCAAAACTTGGAAATATACTACATCAAGACTGATAATGACAATAAATTTACGGAAAGAACATGTTCTCTAAAATCGTCTTAGTCTTGAATTACACCTATTTAAATTTCAATGGGACTCCTCCCATAATAGGACGAAACGGCCGTCCAGTGCTTCCAGGTTTTCCATGGTGGTTTAGCTTCAACTGACTCATGATCTTAATAATTGAAATTACTACAATCCCCACAAACCCCTTCTGATAATAACCTATTTAAATAACTAGTCCTAATAGTTTGAGACGTAAGAAGCTTATCACAATATTGTGAATGAAAAAAAAATGAGTATTACTCAACCAACCACATAGAAGTGTCAGTAGATGATAGTTATAATGATATCAAGAGCTCTTTTTATGAAAAATTAAGTGTAACACTAAAACTATGAGAACACAGGAAAAAGAGCTCACAATATAAATTTGTGAATGGGAAGTAAAAGCGACATAAAATGTGGGAAATAAACCAAATACTAGAAATGACAGGTTACTCAGCAGGGATGACAAATCAATTGATGAGGTAGTAAATATGTATTAACTGAAGTGATTTGGACGTGTCACGTACGACCGACCACCGCCTACCTCGACGGGCAATGTTGTCTGGTGTAGCATGAAAGGAAACCGAGGAGACCAAACTAAAACATACTATCAGTTTATGAAATCATTGGTAACTGGACAGAGCCATGTTAACAGGTGTGCATTATCTGTTGATCGTAAACAACTGTTAGAGACTTTGAACATGGTTCGAAATCGTATGGTATAATACGGGTGCATCCAATTTTTGTCTTACATTGAATTCTAAGCGTCCAAATTCTTCGTAATTTCTCTTATTTCACTAATTTATATGTTCTCGAATCGTATCTTCGATGACTAATCTTCCCCATTACCACCTCAATTATTCTGAAATTTGACCTGACTGTCATCTCTCTCTCTGTGCTAACAGGGTATGGCAACTTGGACTGATGTACATGCGTACAAGGTCCTAGGTTGAGACTGACTGAGGTCCTATAGCTATTGAAAAATCGGTTAGAGTGGTAGTACTGAAAATAGATCATATTGATCACAACTGACCTGTATTCTCGTTTCCCAATAATCATTTCACTACCACAAACGATTAATGTCTAGTTTCATCTTTCACAAAGCACGTAACGAACTGACTTCATGAAATCTTTCTCAATGTTGCCTGAAAGCATGTTGTAGCCTAGATTTTCGACCACGTAATGTTTGAGTCAGTCAATCAGTCAGCTGCAACGTAGGACCAGGCACGTATATGCATCGGTCCAAGTTGCCATACCGCATTAGCACAACAACATGAACACCGGATTCATAGTAGTCACTTCAAAGGTAGTAGTATATAAAAGAAAGATTGTGTATAAGGAGATAGTACAGGAAGATAGAATTAGTTCCTAGAAAGAAAGATTTGAAGTGATTTTAATCTCTTAGTTTAAAGGAAGACAGAGAGTGTATACACCTACGCCATTGTGATCGATTCTGAGCCATGTCACCAAGAATCTCCAACCATTGGTTACGATAGTCACGCGGACCCCAACCAGGCAGTCTGCATCTACCAACATGGCTCAGACCAGAAGTTAGTGACTTCAAGCACTGATGCCACATTTTGGTTTGGCCGCCCCTATCCTTCTCCCAATCATCCCCAACATTGCGCGCCGTGGTAATCGGTGTTCAGGCATACGCAGCACGTGGCCCAACCATCTCAGTCGATGAAGATCCATAACCTCATCAACTGATTTACCATCATTCCCTAATACCCTGCGTCTAACCTCACTATTACTTACCCGGTGATCCCAGCAGATACCCGCAATATTTCTAAGGCACCTGTGGTTAAATACTAGTAACTTACGAATATCTTCTAATCTTAAAGGCCATGTTTCACAGCCGTATAGCAGAACGGAACGAACTGCCGCGCAGTATACTCGTCCCTTAATTGATAGACGGATATCTCGCCTTCGCCATAGATGACGTAAGTTGGCAAAGGCCAAGCAAGCTTTTCGAATCCGTGCTGAGATTTCGTCAAAAACCAACCCATTAGGGCTGATCAGATTTCCAAGATAAGTGGAGTTGTCAACGCGTTCGACTACTTCACTCCCTATCCTTAGTTCAGGTGTTGACGCAGACCAGTCCTGAAGCAACAACTTGCATTTAGAGGGAGAGAAGCGCATCCCAAACATTCTGGCATTGTTGCTCAGTGCTACCAAAGGACTCTGCATTTCATCAGCGTCTTCACCAAACAGGACTATGTCATCTGCGTATTCTAAATCGATAAGTGAACCTCCTGGTAGAAGATCAATACCCGAGAATTCAGTCGATGAGAGCGTTATTTCCATCAGTAGATCTATGATGAAGTTAAACAAAAATGGAAAAAGTGGACAGCCTTGGCGGACGCCACTTGAGGTTGCGAAAGCAGATGACAGTTCGCCATAAGCTCTGACTCGACTAGTAGTATTCGAGTAAAGAGCCTTCACAAGGTTTATGTACTTTTGAGGTATGCCTTTCAATGACAGACACTGCCACAGAACCTCTCGGTCAACAGAGTCAAACGCTGCTTTTAAATCAAGGAAGACCACTATTGTCGGACGCCGATAAGTATGTCTGTGTGTCAGCTCGAATAACAGGTTTCACTAACTGAAACTATAAGATAATGTCATCGAACGTTTAACACAGAACCCAACCGGGGCATCCGATATTCCCTAACCACTGCAAAGAACCTGCGCGATTCACTCTGAATATCTGAAGACTCAGTCGCAACTTATTGTAAACTATATGGTATAGAATTAGGAATGAGAGCGGAATGGGCAGTCCTTGACTGCAATTCACTCTACTTTTACTTGTTTGTCAGGACGCAAAAGTAGGAATCATGCGCCGTTGACCTCTCGCCGAATGATGACAAACCAGACTACTAATAAAAGCCTTCTTTACCAGGCTCTGACTGTGACAAGCTGATAAATATTTAGGATAGACTTTTAGCGTTATCGAGTAGCAAATAGACAGTGACAAGCATTAGCTGCTATTGCCATCAAAGAACTGCTTGATTCGAACAAACATAAGCTTAGAACATAAAGGGGAAGTAGTTTAACCTGACGATTGTGAAAACAGACACAACGATGAACAAAAATGCGTATCAGTAGAGACAGAAAAATAACAAAAGGTAAACCTCTCCGAGATCATCCAGAAGATAGGGATGACAAGAACATAACCAAGCGCTTGGTCGACTATGTAGAGGATCTTCTGCCAAATAAGCTTGGAATGATACTTCAACAGTTGTAAACACAACAGCGATATCCGTCAGTAACTAAAAGTTTAGGCAAGACCAATGAATTCCGGTAAACACTACTAAATTTATAGCCGTCTAGAATCTTACTCCAAGCAGTCCTCGAAAAACCACGAAGTGTGAAGTTAACTCATGTGCGAACCGGTAAAAGGTCATGATCATGAGTAGTGTTAGACAACAAAAGTAATAGATTGAAAGGGCAACAGGGTTATATCTCTACCCAGAGGTAGAACCAGATTGCTGTCCAGGCCAATAGATAAAACAGGTACTGGTAAGCTATCTGACAATTAAAATACTTAGTTATAAGTGTCATTCGTAGACCAAGTAAATGTTGAAGAACAGTTCAGATAGACTTAAGCTACCGTCTAATTCGCATGCTATACCCATTCGTACTGAATGAGAGGTCAACGTAATTTCAGACCGTTAAAGATGTCACGAAGTTCATAACAAATAAGTGTACAAGGTCCTCGTGGGTTAACCCCAGAATATTTTAGGGATGGTGTTATGATACTATCATGATTATTGACTAATCAACTAGGTAGACAGCGTTGATCACCAAACATCGTTTAAGAATAACCCCGAACTGCAAGATGGCCTCAATAAGTATTCAATAATTAAATGAAGCTCGGGTGATGACAAGCCAGTTTCAGACTGGGGCAACAATGTTCTCATTAACTGAACACTACTCCGTATGTTTTCCAATTATAGCCAACTTCCTTAACAAATAGCCTGCTGGAGGCTACATTTTCAGAGTCATAAGCTACAACAAACAGGTATTTGAATTAACAATCACAAGTTTACGTCAGAGCTATTATTTTCATTTGTCTGCCGAAGATATACTTAATTCAGCTCCCTACCTCCCACCTGGGAACTCATTCAGTGGATATGCAGATGACACACTTCAACCCGATAGATATATGAGCGAAATCCAAGTTAAGGCATATAACGAGGGTTTCTGTAGCAGTAAACGGAAAATGTAGCTACAAGATTGGTCGCTATCAAAGTCTTGACTGCCTGTGCAGTTATATGTTTGATGGGTCGTTAACTTAAGCCATCTTCGAAGTCTTGGCACCGCTTGGATAATATCGTATAGAGTCGAGATATATACACACATCTTGGCGACTCATTTTATAGCAACGAAGCAAATTCCGAAAAGGGTTCACTATTAGGTTGCGCACGGATTGTAGAATAAGAGACCGACCGATATGAATAAAGCAGGTTACGAATGTCTATTCCCTCAAAAAGCAAAGTTACAGGGTACGATACGAAGACGAGTATAAGAGCTTACGCAATGAACACCCGGACATCACGTTTCATGAACTAGTAATCATTACTAGCAACATAACACAAATCATTAGCCAGGCCTGACTGAGAAATGTAGAGCTGAACCTAAAACAAGATAACTGAGCTAGGAATACATTAAACACGACGTACCCATAATTACTGAATTTACATTAACACACGTTCAAAGTGCACTAAACAAAATCGTGATATTTTAGTAAATCACATCGAAAACATACCTCTGATACTGCTGAATAATATTGTCTGCTGGAGGGCGCGTTAGCCGCATTGTTCACATTTTGAACCTGAGATAACCGAGAAGACCAATCATCATTTCCAACCCGTGAATAGTACTGTCCCAACCACGAAGACCTGTTGTAAGCAGTCAGTAACTTTTGCGAATGACGACGTCTTGACTTCACAAACCAACCGACCAACAACAACGCAATCGATAGCGCCAATAGAGAGCCAACCAGACCTAACAATGCAACGACGACAGGCTGCGCACTCGAGTACGATACGTACGGAGCTAAAGGAAATCAGGCATCAGCTGTGAAAGTATACATAACAAATATCGCTATAGAAGTGAATAATATTACCACAATAACCATTAAAGGACCTCCCTACCAAACCCATCCAAAAGCCAAATAAGAAAACCTCATAATAAACGGATGGCAATACACGTTTATTAATGATGAAGAGATAATGAAGAATAAATAAAATACAATCTGAACAATCAGAAGTGGCATATAGTAATAGATAAGGGAATACAAGATTTATATGAAACAAGTATGGAACATATGTACAAGCTAATGCGTAACAATAATAAGAATCAACTATAAAAATAATTCACATTTATTTCTTTGCAACTTTTTTCGGGGTCTTCTTTGCCACTGGTTTCTTGGGCTTCACAGTCTATAAGAAAGAAAAGAATATTTCAATAAAATCATATCCATTCGAGGTGCTTAAGGTTATAAATCACACATACACGTATAATTATAAGATCATAAGGAGTCAAGAAATCATTTAACTTACTTTTGGTTTACGTGGTGACTTGGCTTTCTTTGGTTTGGCGGTCGATTTGGGTTTGGTGGCTTTTGGTTTTGAAGCAGCTGGTTTACTTGTTGGATTGGTAGTTGATTTGGGCTTGACAGCTTTTGGCTTCTTGGCAGATGCTTTCTTTGGAGTAGTTTTCGGTTTTGAAGTTTTAGGACGTGCAACTTTTTTCGGTGTCACAGTTTTATCTGCAAGTTTAAATGATCCAGATGCACCAATTCCCTTAGTATGAACAAGTTTGCCCGATTTGACACCAGTAACTAAAGCACGACGTAGATGACTTTCTGCACGATCATCAACTTTGTAATTAGTTTTAATATATTTAGCAATAGCTTGACGACTTGATCCACCACGTTCTTTTAGCTCTTTAAGGGCTTTCTTTATCATATCTCCATATGGAGGATGAATTGATGGTGCTTTTTTTGATTTTGCAGATTTTCTTACCCCAGTAGTCGAAGGGGCAGCAGCTACTGAACTTCCACTAACACCCGAAACAGTCATTTCAAAAACTGGTTAGACAGACAGGTCAGAAATTTTCGCTAAATCTAGTTTAACGCTTATTTATATAGTTTATTTTCCTGACCACAACGTAGCATAATTCAATCGGAGTGCGTATGTCACTTCTATTACACAGCATAAGCGATGAATACCTCGGTAGGGTGAATAAAAAAGCTTATAACTTCTAAACAAAAAATCAGAAAAATATGATTAATATATCGTTATAGAGCTAACATTCTGCGCTTTCCGGCAATGTTAAAATCATTGAAATTAATTCAAAGATCTAGGAGAAAATTAGTGAAGAATCTGATTTTTTTATAGTATTCCTTCGTCTACATCACTTTGATCATCAATAAATTCCCCCAAAAATGAGAAATTTGTAACTAAATTTTGTATTCTTATAGAGGCCTTTCTTAACTTTACTAAAATAGTAAAAGTTGTACGATAAACTCATAAAATGATAGAAAATTCTTACGAAAACTTAACGTATGCTTACAAAAAATTTACCATGGAGACTTTCAATCCTGAAAAGAAATCGTGAATATTTTACGGAACCTTTTGAGGAAAAACGTTCAAAACCCAAAATATTATAGTTAACTATCATATTAATCTGTGTATATAGTCACAAGCTGAAATTCATTCAGAAACCCTGAAATTTCAAGACTGGAATTCAACCTCTACTATTATAAGCATATCTTTAAATGTCGATAGTAAATTCAGAGGAAATAGACTTTAACTTTAGTAATCTTTTTACTTTGTCTCATTCATAACATGATAAAGAAGGTATGTCTTAGACAAGAAATTATAAGGAACTGTTATTTACGAAAGGATCCTCATAGGGAGTCCAAATATTTGACATTTCTCTATTTTATGATAAAGGCATATAATTTTACTAGAATTTCATGAAGTGAATGAACAATTCACTTTATTTTGACTTGAAAAGCTTTTGAATATATTCTATGAAGTATTTAGGAAGAGATTTCACAGATTTTTAAGCACAATAAGCAAATAACGTATAAAGTGATGAGATTTATATTCAGTAACGAGTCATAATGCCTGTATCAAATGAATATGTAGGTACATGTAACAGATGTTTCAAACGTATACACCTAGATAAAGTACTTCAACCTTAATAAGTATCATGAATAAATATCTTTCGAAAAGAGATCATTTAACTGATGTATTTCATATTTAACTGAGTTATTCTTAAGAAGATATACAGTATTTATGGAACTCAATATCTTGAATTTGTATAGAGTCGTTTCACTTTATTGACATACAAATTACAATTTATAAACTAGGTATAATATAATGCGAATACCCTAGTGGTGTATATTTAGAGTTTTGATTGAGTATATTAACACGAGATGGAGGTTAGGGGTAAATAAGGTTTGAATAAGAACTGAGAGGCATATAAATCTATTCACAGTTATTTCCTCACATTTTTTTTGACATCTCTCAAGTATAAGTAGAATTGTCTGTTATCCATTTTATGAAACTAATCTCTTCAATGCCTTCTAATAGATTTTTAACCGAGATCATATACAAGTATAGAAAATTGTAAATGGAAACAGTTGACGATTATACTTTCAAAAGCCAACTGTTAACAGTTTATAAGAAAATGAAAATAAGTTACAGTTTTTCCCCTAGAAACATAAAACCGTTGATCTAGTTAGCTATCATGAAAAGTATACCGTTATCTTTCTTGAAATACTCGAAAATAAACGGTAGATGAATAGCTTGATGAATATGATTTTTTCAAGTCAATATAAGGAATGTACAAATTTGTGAGCTTGAAAAAATTCTTATTATGTAATAATCTGGTTTAACCGCCCAATACATGAAATAAATTTGACTGATAGGAATTCAACGATTTATCTAATAGGTAATAAAATAAATTCTTTTTACTTGTGTCCAAAACATTAAGTAGTTACTTGGATTCTGTTTCTATAAATAAATAAATAACAAGTTCACTATCACGTTATATACTTATTGTTCTGAAATCATGATTTGGATACTTTTATTTGTGTTGTCTGCTCTGATCTTGATGATCTAATTGTTAAGCTTTTATTACCATTCTGGACAATATAATCATTGTTTACTTCAGATCTACATCTATATTAAATAAGCTTTAATAATATTACTTTGAATATACTTAATTTCAAGGTGGTGCTGATTATTTATATCTTCGGTGAACGATTTTGATAAAGTTGTGTTCTCTGACTTAGTTTAATCGTGAAGAATTCATTATCGTCCTTCTAGACAACATCTTCAGTGCTTCTGTTTAAAGTTTATATGGATGACGTTATCTAGAAAAAGAATGCATGGTTTATTATTGAACCACTGAGCTTAGAGAACTTAATTTCACCAACAAAAAAAAAACACTAACACAATGGTTCAAATTGGTGGTAGAAATGAGATCTGAACATTGCAAAGATCAAAACATGTACCCAGCAAAACTGTTGATATGTTCATACTGAATAAACTTTGAATGTCTATGACTACTGGTATTTTATTGATACATTTATTTACCTAGAAGCCTATTTGCCATGTGTCGGTATCTATATCGATGTATAGTACTGTCACATTTATTAAAACGATTTACCAAAGAATTCAACTAAAAAGATCAAATCAAGATCAATCCTAAATATCGGTTTAACCCAAAATCTGGAAACATATGTTCTCATGTATATCGAAATATTTGTTTAACTAAATGTCATTGATTTTATGTTACACATTCTCATGGAGTATACACAAGTCCACATACATTTTGTCCACCTGTGAAAAACGCTGAAAATAAACAATTACAGTAACTAAGTTTCTGTTTTATATTAGAATGCACCATCCAAATAAGAATCATTTTTAAGGGACTAAATTATGTTAAATTTTCTTCCACAATTCTTTCGTCAGCCTTTAATGACAAACTAGTATAAGATGATATTATTCAAGGTGAGTAAACTTAACTGTCCATCAAATAAACAGATAACTAACGATTGGAATAAAAACCTGTTGAAACGAAATCGTTGATAAACATTCTACTCTAATCTACAACACTCAATTACCAAATAAACGGAAAAATGGCAGAAAATGTTGAATAGAATGCAGTTATTGAATGTTGAACATGTTGAAGATAACGACAGACAAATAAAGTCACTTTTAAAATAAAATGATTTCATTGATGAGTTCAGAGACAATCAGTAACTCCAACCACTGGTTACAACAATTTTGAAGACCTCAACCAGTGAATCTACACCTACTCACACAACTCATTCCAACAGTCAATGGTTTTTTGACTATGTTATGTCTTGGTTTGAATATCCTTGTGATTCATCTAACCTAATCCTTCACCATCAAATATTGGTCATTGATTTAGACAGTGGTTGAGCATACGTTAGACATGTCCAAATCACTTCACATTTTTCCTTACAAGTTATTGATGTATTTTATATTGAAATCTAAAACAATATGCAGACGAGTGTAGTGAAACATAATTCTTTCAGGGTACCATATTTTTACTATGCCAAGTTAACTTGTCGTCAAGAAAAAAAGGAAGTAAACTATCACACAACCTCAATAAACTGTATAGAACTATAAATCGAAGAATAAAGTGTTTTATAGGTAGTATTTGTCACAGATTGTTTTTAGTCGGGTCACCACTATGAATCAGATAAGATTAGACAACTATTTAGTTCTATTGTGTAACTCTTCGGTTGTCTAATGGTTAAGTGCTACTTTACAAACCTGAATATCTTATGTTCAAGCCCCTCCAGGTCCGTGAGTGCCCACTCATGAAAACTTCCGTAATATAAAAAAATAGCTGTTCACAGCTTCCTAGTTTTTAATAGTTGTCACGTTAAAATCGATTCCTGACAAATACCATCGACACATTAAAGTTAGTCCCGTTAAAACCACTTCATTTAAAATAAATTATCCGTCTAATTGAAAGAAAAATTACAATTCAACAAAGCAAATATG